GTGATGAGTGGTGCAAGATGAGTGGTGTGAGAAGAGTGGTGCAAGATGAGTGGTGTGAGATGAGCGCTGCGCCTGCCAGGAAATCTACACATGGAGGTTCACAAACCGCTGTGCCTGCCACGAAATCTGCACATGGAGGTTCACAAAGTGCTGTGCCTGCCACGAAATTGCGCATGGAGGTTCACAAACTGCGCATGCTGTGCCTGCCACGAAATCTGCACCTCGAGCTTCACAAAGCGCTGCACCTGCCACGAAATCTGCACATGGAGGTTCACAAAGCGCTGCGCCTGCCACGAAATCTGCGCATGGAGGTTCACAAAGCGCTGCGCCCGCCACGAATTCTGGCGACGTCTCGATGTGTGTTGTCACAAAGCGCTGCGTCTGCCACGAATTCTGCACGTGGAGGTTCACAAAGTGCTGCGCCTGCCACGATTTCTGCACGTCAACAAACAAGTGAATACTCTAATCACAATGGAGGGACGGGCCTCTCTGTGTGTGTGTTGTCTCGGTGTGTGGTCGTGTGTGTGATCTCTGTGTGCGTTGTCTCTGTGTGTGTTGTTGTCTCGGTGTGGAGGGAGGCGGCGGGAAGCGGGCGGCGGGAGGCGGATGAGACATAGAAAAGAAGAACCCCACGCTAAGATGTGGGGAAAAAGAAGGGAGACAAGACGGAGACAAAGGAGAAGGAGCGGATAGAGCACACACACACACACTCACTCACACTCCTCACACTCCTCACACTCACACCCACTCACTCACACGCACACTCACTCACCCACACTCACTCTCACTCTCACTCACACTCGCGCTCGCACTGTGAGTGAGAGCGAGAGTGAAGAGTGAGTGTGAGTGAGAGTGAGTGTCAGTGTGAGTGTGAGTGAGAGTGAGAGCGATAGGGCCGGATAACCCCAATGATCCTTCCTTTCTTCCTTCCTTCCGTCCTTTCTTCCTTCTTTCCTTCCTATTCCTTCCTTCCTGCCTGCCTTCCTTCCTTCCGTCCTTCCTTCTTCATTTTTCCCCAGACAGTGTGGACACACTATGAGGGTTCTTACGGTAGTTGAAAAGCAGCTGCTGCTTAGATCGCTGAAGCGCGCGGGGGTGTCTGGCTGATTCGCTGCTATTTACAGTACATTCATACCTCTTGAAATCGTCCACATGCATTTCGTCTGCGTAGGCTCGCGAAATCTGCGTGGGCGAGGCGGGCGCTTCTAGCGACTGCGCTCTCGTTGTGGCCCCGTGCGCATTTTCGCAAACGGCGGTCACTTTTCGTGGCTGGCGCAAGGGAAACCCTGTGTTTTGGTGCTCCAAAGTTGACTTTAAGTTCGTGACAGGTGCAAAAAATCGGAGCTGTTTTGCTTCGAAATGCAGTTTTCGCGGCAGGCGCAGCACTTTGGACATGCTGGCGATCGTTGAGGAGCTCAGATTTCGTGACAGGTGCACTGAATCGTGAAGTTTGGACACGTGGCTCGTTTGCAGATTTCGTGGCAAGCGCAGCACTCTGTGACCCTTGATGCGCAGATTTTGTGGCAGGCGCAGCACTTTGAAAGCGCAGATTTTTCGTAGCAGGCGCAGCACTTGGTGAACCTCGAAGTGCAGATTTTGTGGCAGGTACATGGTGAACCTCGAAGTGCAGATTTCGTGGCACGCACAGCACTTGGTGAACCTCGAAGTGCAGGTTTCATGGCAGGCACAGCACTTTGTGAACCTCGTCATGCAGATTTCGTAGCAGGCGCAGCACTTCTCACTCTCGCTTCACTTGATCTGCGCTCTCAGATGTGTGCTCTTTAGACTTCTGTATACCTCTGAAACTCTATCTCGCTTCACTTGGTCTGCGCTTTCAGATGTGTGCTCTTTGGACTGTCTGTAGACCTCTGAAACGATAGTTGTTCTCATATGTGTGCTCTCTAAACCGGTTTCCTGAGATTTGACCTCTGTCTTCTGACGCTGATTACGCCCACACTCACTCTCACTCTGACTCTCTCGCTCTCACTCATACTCATAATGCCCACGATATCTAGACCTCTGTCTTCTTACGCTGGCTATGTCCACTCTCACTCTCACTCTGACTCTCTCGCTCTCACTCACTTACACTCACAACGCCCGCGCTCACTCTCATTCACACGCGTTCTCATTTTCACTAAAGTGCCTGCGAGAGTGAGAAGTGCTGCGCCTGCCACGAAATCTGCGCTGTAGAGTCCCTCGTCTTCTGTCATGTAGACCGGATACCTTGCCTGCTCGCTTTCAGCAGCTCTTTCAAGAGAAAGAAAAGCAGACGCAACAATTTGCTCTGGAGTGTCTGCAGACGTTGAACTGGTGATGGTATTGATCGAAATTGGTCGTATTCCGGGACAACGTGCTTCGACGTACTCACAGACATCCATTGCAGTGACACCAGCTTTACACAGAGTACCGCGCGCGTCGAGTTCCAGCGCGGCTCCGCCTGTGGGAGATGCAATGTCCGCATCAGTTTCCAGCGCGGTTCCGCCTGTGCAGAGGCAATATCGGTATCGAGTTCCAGCGCGGCTCCGCCTGTGGTAGGTGCAACTGGTCTATAATGGATACACAGACAGCTTCGACGCCCACCAGCTTTACACAGAGTACCGCGCACGGGAACGCCGCTTGCGAGAATGATGATTGCGGGAACGCCGCTGGTGATCGCGGAAACGCCCGCCAAGTTCTTCCACACAGCGACGCGAGACAAAAAGGAGGGTGGGTTTCTATGTCGACGCTGTCCTGCCGTCGTGTGTTTGCTTTGCTGCTTTCTCCTCCTTCCTCCTCCTCCTCCTACCACTTCCTCCTACTCTATCGGGGTTCAAGCCTCACCTTCTACTTCCTACTACTTCGTGCTCGCGGGTGCTGCTCTCTCTACTTCCACCTCCCCTGCGCACATCCCTTGACACCAAAGTCCGTTTGATATACACTCTACACTGTTTGGGGTCTCTTGCCGGGATAATTTTTGATGCTGCAAAATGTAGTTACTTAAGTAAGGGACTAAGCTATAAAGAGAAAAACAATGTGTATAAAGAAATGCGTACGACACGGCATCGCAAAACTCGTAGGTGATGATGGTCCTGCATCACGGCCATCAAGAGTTCATCGGGATCCACCTGTGGATTGCCGAATCCATGACTATATCATTATCCATTTTGTGTCTACCCTCCCTCTCTCATCGTGCACAGGCTTTGATCAGCATCCCTGTACAAACAAGAAGCTTTTCCAACTCACATGCGAACTCTCCTCCCCAAGTTCTTGAGATTAAGAAATGTGATTCCACTGATTCCACCTGAAAGACCGTCTGAATCGCTCCACCGTCGCCGTGGTGAAACACTTTGCCGCTTCGTTGCCAAAGCTCCACGGAGTGGACGCCTTCACCTGTTCGCCCCACAATGCTCTCCACCACACCTGCATGCGCTCCGTGCAGCAAGTTTTAACTTCTGCACCTTCTCCCATCTAATTGGCATCTAAAGAAGAAGCACAACAGAAGAGCATGTGACAATATTTGAATAACTATATAGTAATATATATATATATATACCACGTCTGAGCGAAGGGATGGGTTCACAAATTGTAGAAACATCCAAATAACTGCTGGAGTCACTTGGATTTGTAGTGCCATTTGCTACCTCCGCTTGAACATATCACAACTACGCAGTTGTACTGTAGCTAGGGTCCTTCTTAATTTATGTTGGTTTGTGAAATTCCTCAAACCCGAGGCATCCCGATTTCAGCAAGCTCTCTGACACTATTTTGCGGTGGACTGCAATGAACATGGAAACGGAACATACTCCGAAAATATTCACAAAAAAATGCTGCCTGCATACGAATCAACCTTGATTGCAGTTTTTGGCGATTCTGGTGGCAGCAGGGCGCAGGTTGAAGACACTGCACCAACGAGCCAGGGGTGTTCGCTGCACTGCGAGAAGTCCATCCTGGCAAAAGCAGGAAAGGCAACACAACAAACTGGTTTATTTGGAGATGTCCTGCTGTTGCCAGGCCATAATATAAAGGAAACATGACTGACAGCCTGACACTAATATTAACACCCCTACACGCTCTCCGTCTGGAAATCTGCCTCAACTCTGGATCCACAGTCAGAAGCCCTTGCACAAAGTTCCGCCCCTCTCGAGACACACGCTTCCATGAAGGACAGCTGTTCACTTGAGATACTTGCTCCTGCAAATGAATGTGAAACGATGCAACCTTAAGTTTCCCAAAAAAATCTAGGAACCAAATCATTAGTGCGAGCGCTTCTTCAAGGAAGCTTCCCCCACCGCCTTTAGGGCGGCTGGGGGAGCTTCCTTGAAGAAGTGCGAGCTATCCTGCGTCCGAAGTAGTATATAGCTACTTGCGCGTACTAGCTACCTAGCTTCTACTGGCCTAGCTACCTCTGCCTCTACTCATGGCCTACCCCCTCAAAACAAAGAAAAATACATTATCAACTTCCCCCTTGCCTGGTCAACGAATCAACAATTCCATCACTTTCCACTCTCCTTGTGCTCGTCTGGGCTCAGGCAACTCACAAAGAAAGGCATTCGGCCACACCTTGCAAAGCGCTTGCGACCGCTCACAAACCTGTGATTGCAAAGGGCAGTCCACAAGAACTCTGGCAATGGAAGACAAGACCATGGTGCTACTAGGAGGCAGTATAGCATACAGAATCACTCCAAAGCTCCAATAGTCCACACGCTCGTCGTACTTCCCGAGCAAGACCTATTGCTATTGCTGAAAAGTTTAGAAGAGTCCAATAGTATGGCACTGTTGCAAATCCCGAACCGAGCATTCCCGACAAAGGGCTTGACATGCTGGGCAGTACAAACTCTTCTCCAAAAGAGAATTGAAACTGCGAACTAAACACACCTCAGGAGCAACGTAGTCTGGAGTGCCCACCTTGGCCGGCACAATGGGTGGACCAATGCAAGAGACCTGCACCGCCACACGTTTATGGCAGTTGGTCTTACTTCATTTGACCTTGAATATCTTATTGGACAAGCCTGAAATGGGTATATAGACTAGAACGGGAACAAATGTTCATAAACGGGAACAAGCATTGCACAAGCAAAATGAACACTAGTGGCTTCCCATTCTAGCCAGTTGGGGGGAAGTCCGAATCTACCAAGATCTGCCAAGGCTCCGCTGTCATTGTTCGTCTTAGAGCAGGCTTGGAAGAGGCCTCAGCCAAGCATGAGTATACTGTGAAAATATAGTTATATATATACATATTGTGAATTTGAAGCAATAGATGTGAGTTCATGTCATTCGATGATGACTGCGCTCGGTTCGCACTCGTTCATGCGCCGCTTCCTCAAGCGCGCTTGGGCCACATGACGTGGCTGCTCGTACATGAGCCTTGAAAGAAAAGGTCCCCTTTGCAGCAGACGGAAACTTAGAGCGTTCCGCAGTGACGGTGAACTTGGTTTTCCTCCTTTCTTGTTCCCCGTGTTTTTTCACATTGGTAGCGGAGCTGCCAAAGAGCAGCTCCGGATCCGCCCGCCGCCATGTCTCGATCCCTGAAGGGAAGCTCGCACGCCAATGGACCGGCCGAGAAGGGCGCCCTTGGAAAAGATGAGAGAAGCTACATCCCGCGCTTCGACAACACGATGACCGGCTACCGAGAGTGGCGCAAGAGGATCCTGCTGTTCGCCCGCCGCCAGGCGATCCAAGGAAGAGCCAATGAGACAGGTCTGTCAGTCCTGTCGATCTTGGAAGGTGCAAGCTGGGCTGGCGCCAGTGCGAAGACCTGGGCTTAGATGTCCTCGAGAAGGACGACGGCCTCAAGAGCATTTTGCAGAGGCTGGACTCCCAATGGCAGTATGATGATCGGGTTGAGATGCCCGACGCATTCGAGAAGTACTTCTACAAGACACAACGTCGAGTTGGGCAGTCGCTCCTTGAGTTTTGCACCGAGCACCAGCAGTCCCTTCGAGAACTTCAAAAGTACAAGATATCGCTCCCTGAGCAGGTCGCTGGTTGGCTGTTGTTGAGAAAAGCTTGTTTGAGCAAGGATCAACAACAGATGATCTACACGCAGACCGGCACCGACATGTCTCAACAACATCGAGAAGTCCATGTACATGATCCTCGGACAAGACTACAAGCATGTCCACCAACCTGCAGTCCGACGAGCTCAAAACCAAGGCTTCCAAGGACGATGGAAATCCCGCCAACTCATCCACATGGCCGAGGACGATGAGCTTTGGGACCAGGACGAATGGACAGAAGACTATGAGCCCGATGAAGATGCTTTCTATGAAGCTGAAGAATGGTATGACCAGGAGTACGACCTCGTTGATGACCAGGAAGATTTGGCATACCTCCACCACACCGACGAGGACACGATCTTCGACACCGAAGAGTATGGCATGGCAATGGCAGCCTACACTGATGCCAAACAACAAGTGCTCGAAATCAAGCGCTCACGTGGGTTCTATCCAGTGGTTGCGATGGTCGACAAAAACCAGCTCCCCGTCATGGCCAACGCCAGCAGTGGCTCAGGTGGAAAAAGTCCAAAAGGACGTGGGAAAAAGGGGAAATCAAAGTCAAAAGCACCACAAGGAAAAGGACCACAAGGAAAAGCTCGCGCACGTGATGCAATGGTGTGTCATCGATGTGGCAAACCTGGACACTTCGCCTCACAATGCAAGGCATCGAGCTCGAGCACGACTCCGACCTCAGCAAAGAAAACTCTGGAGGAATCTGATCCTCTTCTCACTGGCATGGTTCTTTTTGAGAATGACATGACCCAAACGAATGCTCAGGTTTCAAAGAATGTCATGGCTTGTGAGAATGACACCTCCCCTGAAAATGTCATGGTTTGTGAGAATGCCACCCCTCATGAGAATGTCATGATCCTTTCGAATGACCCAGTCCAAGTCGAGTACTACGACTGTGAAGAGTTCTTTGAGTGTGAGGACGCCTACAGTAGTTCAGATGTCCTCGTGGCTGAGCACGAATGGTTGGTCCCTCCAGAGATGGCAATTCAGGATCAAGGAGCATCCAGCTTCCTGATCGGCACGGAGTACTACCTGGCTTGGTTGCAGATCCTTGGCTTCGATCTCTCAAGCCTTGAGTTCAAGAAATGCAGCAAATACTTCAAGTTTGGCGGAGACGCCAATGGTCATGCAAGATGGCTCTTGTCCGTGCCCACCTACATCAACGGCAAGGCAGGCTTCATCCAGGCCTACATCATCTTTGGGGCCACACCTCCTCTCGGGAGACCCGTGATGGAAAGGCTTCAGGCAGTTGTCGACTTCAGAGCCTACAAGATGCAAATCCTTGGAAGTGACTGGCTTCCCATTGAGAAAGGACGCCAGAACACCATGCTCATGAGGCTAGCTCGAAAAGAAGCTGGTCCAATGCAGTTCAACAACCACCACCAGTTCGATCTCCGAACTGAGGATGATCACCATGAGATCCTTCGCTTCGGCGACTTCATCGAAGACATGAAGGCCCAGAGTCGATTCAGCAACATCAAGAACAACTTGGAAAAGACCTTCAAGCCCTCCACGGTCTTTACGGCTGAAAACCTGGAATCACCTCCTCAAGAAGGTGAAAAAGAAAAGAATCAGGAATCACTTCGTGGCTTCTGGAACATGGTGATGGAACAGATCTGCAAGGAAGAAAAACGGCTACAACGAGAAGTCCTCCATGCCCGTGATCACCAACCTGACCGACAGCCAGTGGTCTGGGAAGTCTATGTCGGACGTGGAAATGTCACCAGGGAATGTCAGCGACTTGGTGACGATTTGGACTTGAAGATGGTTGGGACTTCAACAAAGCAGCCGACCGTCGTGCCTTCCTGCAGCTCGCCGATGAAGAAGAACCTGATGAAATGTGGCTGAGTCCAAAATGCAAACTTTGGAGCACCATGCAGAACATCAATGTCAAGACAGAAGATGATCGACTTCATCTCAAAGCTCGCCGACAGGAAGACCATGAAAAGCATCTCAAGTTCTGCCGTCGCGCTTATCTTGGACAGGTCCGCCGAGGTTCACATGCTCACATCGAACATCCTGCTCATGCGTTGTCCTGGAAAACTCCAGCTTTCGCCAACCTCCCCGGCTACAAGGTCATTTTTGATCCATGTGAGTACGGCGCAACCACACTGAATGACAACCATGAACAGATGCCCATCAAGAAGCCAACAGCTCTTCAGACAACAAAACTGGCAATGGTTCGCCGAATGTCCAGGAGATGCAGTGGTGATCACAGCCATCAGACCCTCGAAGGCGGCAACAGATGCCACAAGGCTGAGGACTACCCCATCAAGATGGCACAACGTATAGCACATGCCCTCGTACAGCCTGAAGGACTTGAAGAGCAGACCTTCGCTGCAGGAGATGGCGATGAACAAGAGTTGACAGGTGTTCTCCGGAAGCTCGCCGCCACACATGGATCAGAAGCAGCAAGGCTGGCATTCCGACTTCATCGCAATCTCGGCCATCCACGAAAAGAACTTCTAGTTTCTCTCCTTCGTCAACGTGGATGTGGTGAGAAGATCATCAAAGCAGCAGAAGATCTTGAATGTCCATACTGCAAGAACTTCGCAGTCCGCAAAGGTGCAGCTCCCGCTCATCTCAGCAGAGCAGAGAACTTCAACACTCACGTACAAGCCGATGTGATGTGGTATGATCTTGTGAGTGAATGAAGACCCTGATGGAACCACCAAGCGAAAGGGCAAGAAGATCCCCATCCTTGTCATGGTTGATGAAGCAACCCGGTTCATGAGTGCTCGAACCGTTCCTGATGAGCAAGGTCCTTCACTACAGAAAGCCTTCGAACGAGGCTGGATTCGACACCATGGCCCTCCAGAACGTCTCTTTGTCGTCGAGGCCACCGGTTGGGCGAGTGACAACTCAATGAAATGGGCTGAAGAACAGGGCATTGAGATGAAAATTTCACCAGGACAAGATCACACCAGAACAAGCATCGTTGAACGAACGCCATCAACTTCTTCGAAGAGGTCTTGCTGTCTTCATCCGTGAGCATCAATTGACAGGACTTGTTGGACTCCAAGATGCCTTGTTGGATTGTCCCCTCCTTGAACAACAACACCTTTGTCAACGGCTACACACCGTGTCAATTGGCTCATGGACGGCAACCCAATGTGCCTGGCTTGTTGAGTGATGAGCGCACTTCACCTCTTCAGCTGCAAACAACTGAACAAGAACGGTTGTACAAGAAGCTCCAACTTCGAGCAAGTGCCCACGCAGCATGCGCCAAAGCTGAGATTGATGTCAAACTCCGAAGAGCACTGTTGAGAAGATTCACTGGCCAAAACGAAGACCTATCTCCAGGAGAACGATGCCTCTATTGGAGAGAATCCAATGATCGGTTCCACACAATTCAATGGCGTGGTCCTGCAGTGGTTCTAGCTGTCCAACGAGATCCTGATACCAATGTGGTTGACACATACTGGATTGCACTCCAGCAGGATGTCCGAGAGGTTCATTATGACCTGGTGGTTCACTTTGGCCTTGAGGTTCATTTCGACCTGGAGGTTCTAAAGCATCTCCTTGATTGAGAGGTGCTTGATGGTGTTCATTTTGAAGTGGTTCCAAGTCAATGTTTACCTCAGGAGCCAGGAGTTCTTCGGCCTCTGCATGGTCAGGGTCCATGTCGTCCAGACTTTGGCGATTGGTCCTTTCGAGATCGATGATGCGGACGACACGTCGCTGCCGGAGTCCTTCCATTGCTTGGATTGCACGTTCGGTGGAGTGTATGGAACGTTGTAGGTTCGGAAGTTTCCTGACATGCTGCTTTCCAGCTCTCAGCAACGAAGTTCCGTGTACCTGATGTACCAATGGTTGAACCAACGAATGCAGGAGAAGCCATTGACCCAGGTCAACTTCCACCAGTTCCTGAAGATCAAGATCTTGATGAACTACAACCACATGTGCCACCTTCATTGGCACTGGAGATCCAAGCTCATCGATGTACCAAAAGGTCAAAGATGATCTTCGCAAGACCTTCGACTTCAAACATTGGAGCGAAGAGGCAGAAGGCAAACAACTTGAGTTTTGTGGCTGCAAACTAAAGAAGACTGGGGAACAAACATGGCAATTGCACCAAGAGGACTACATCCCTGGAGTGAAACCTTTGACAACTACACCAAAAGGAGACCATGATCCACTGTCTCCAAAAGAAGTGTCAGCACTCCGAGGATTGCTGGGAGCACTCCAGTGCCCATCAACGCAGTCGATGCCGCATTTGAGCGCTTCAATCTCCCTACTTTGTGGTAGCATCAATGGTGCAACAGAGTCCATAGCAAAAGCAGCAAACAAAGCACTCAGGTTTGCAAAGAACAACAAGGACGCCTCCCTACAGTTCACAAAATTGGGTGATTTGAATGAACTATGTTTGACCGCTGTCAGTGACGCTGCATGGGGTGTTCGCCCCGACCATTTGAGCCAAGGAGGATACTTCATCCTGCTGTCCCACAAGGACGTGCTGCACAAGAGTGGCGATTTCAAGTATGTCATCCTTGACTGGAGATCGTACAAGTTGCCTCGAATCAGCAGAAGCAGTTTGAATTCCGAGTCTCAAGCTTGCAGTGCCGCCATGGACTCCCTCGAGTACATTCAATTGTTTTGGAAGGGATGTGTCAACAGCTCATTCACCACCTCAAATGTGGATGAGAAAACTGGTCGACTACCGTGTGCACTTGTGGTAGATGCCAAAGCCCTATATGACTGCCTCAAAAGTGAAGCACCTCAGTTGACTGGGGACAAACGCGCCCAGATCGAGGCCTTGGTGATCAAAGAAAAGATGACCACAACAGGATGCCTCCTGAAGTGGATGTCCAGTGAGTTTCAACTGGCTAAAAGCCTTACAAAAGTGGCTTCACGGCAGCTCATGGCAGACCGCATGCGAACACACATGTTCACCCTCCAGTCCGACCAGAGCTTCACCGCGGCCAAGAAGAAAAGCCCAAAAGAACGACATGACAATGCACGCCGCAACGCATTGACAAAAGCTGAAGCCCGAAGAGGATTGGCAATGATGATCATTTTGGGATCATCAAGCGTAGCACAAGCAGCAAGTGAAACAGGTGAGACCAACGAGACCTACAACATCTATGTTTTCATGCTGTTTACTGCACTGGCCATTTTCGGAGCCTCTCAAGCTTTCATGAACATGCTCAAGGCCCTTGTGAATGTCATCGGCAAGGTGAAGAACGATGAGAAGTCCCTGAACATGATGGACGATGAAAGTGAAGAAAGTCATGAGGTGGAAACCACAGAAAATTCCGCCCAAACAACAGAACAGTTCCAAAAGTTGGTGCCCATCCGACTTCGTGAGGAGAACATGAAGTTGAAGAATGAAGTGAAAGATCACGCTGAGACCATTGCCCGACTCCAGCACAGGATCAACTACCTGGAAGCTGAAGTACATCGGCAAGATGACAGAATGGAAGAATATGAAGTTGGTTTGAGAGAAGCTGCAAACGAAACACGAATTGCAAATGGCGCATATCAACGCACCGTTCTAGCCCTCCAGAGCTTGCAAGGCCACCACCATGTCTTGCAGCAAGAGCACCACAGGATCCAGAATTGCCGAGAAACACCGATCCCGAAGGAAATTTTCATGACCGCACATGGAGCAAAGTTCCATGTAGATCCCCAGTGTCCAGCGTTCCACAATGCATCCGGCCAGACGGCCATTGAGTGTTGCAAGATCTGTGAAAAGCAGGTCGAAAAGGACCGTTGGTGAAGAACTTGACCTAAGGTCAAAACCCTTTTACTTTTCCACCAGTGTGAATTTGAAGCAATAGATGTGAGTTCATGTCATTCGATGATGACTGCGCTCGGTTCGCACTCGTTCATGCGCCGCTTCCTCAAGCGCGCTTGGGCCACATGACGTGGCTGCTCGTACATGAGCCTTGAAGGAAAAGGTCCCCTTTGCAGCAGACGGAAACTTAGAGCGTTCCGCAGTGACGGTGAACTTGGTTTTCCTCCTTTCTTGTTCCCCGTGTTTTTCACACATATGGTATATATATATATGTCAAACAAGGTAAAGCCAAATTGCTTAATGAGAGGATCTGAAATTATCGAAGGAACCAAGAAACCCTACAAGTGTTGAGCAACGGAAGAGCTTTCAATCATATAAAGCCGTCCATGCTGAATGGTAAACAAATGTGTCAATGTACAATGTTCATCATTTGTCAAGCCCTTTGTTCACCCTCTCAGAGTAAAAAGTCGTGTAAATATACAGCAATTTACTAGTATACAGTATGCTATAGTATACATATCCAGTGAACACTTGGTGAGAAAGGAGGAACACAATGTGTCAACAGCCTAGTGGAGGTCTTGTAAACATGCGTCACTTGAAGGCCTGTGTGACGCTTTACTGACATTGCAGTTTAAAGATCATTTAATGCCAATGCCCACTGCGCCACCAACATTGCATTAAAAAAAGGAAGGGATGCAGCAAGCATACCAGCAGCAATTGCTTTGCTTCTGCATCAGAGCGACCTTTTTCTCCTTTGAGGTTGACAATCCAAAGTCCTAAGCAAGTGTGAGGAACAACTACTGAAACGCTTATAACTTATAACTGTAAACCATTGTTGTCGATATCCACAAGAATACTACACCAAAAATATAATTAGTATAGCAGTTTGCTGAAGGCTCCTGCAAATGCACTCAACATCACTCAACTGCTTACCTCGATACAGTCAATAGGGAACGAGACCCAGTTTAAAACCTAGATTGCCTCTCAACAAAAACAAACAATGAAATTGAAAGGGAGATGGGTGTCCCCCTTTTGAATTGGGACCATCTTTGATGAAGCCCATCAAGTCTCCGTTGAATTGGGAACAGTCTGGCTGTCTAGCTGCTGCAATGGAAGTCCCTACACACAAATTGACGAATAATTGATTGGAGCGACTGCGATCTTGATATGATGCAATGGACAGTGCTCTTCAGCGGAGAAGCCTTAGCAAGAAGTTAGGCACATCAAATGATGGTCATGAACAGCTTCTAATAGTTTCTAAACTAAATGTACTATCTACCCCCTTGCCAACTAGTGCCCCATGTGCCCTCTGCAACAAAACACCTGACAAAAGGATGTGCACAATCTCCAAATCTCTTGCGTCCACTCATTGTTAGTTGGATGCCTTGCAAATCACTGCCAGCGTAAGGCGTCTATGTGTTGGCACATTCTGCATGCTGAAGCTGGCAGTGACCAAGGCACTGGTGGTTGTGATCAAAATATTCTCCAATTTTAGATCCCTGTGCAACACGTGGTGCCTTGGACAAAGAAATTTGGCTGCGCGCAAAGAATCGGTGGCCCAAAAGTTGTCTGGGATGAAGATTAGACAAGAACCTCTCTGTCACATCGTTACTGGAGAAAGCTCCGAGAACTGAGTGAGAACTGAGCACCACATAGAACCAGTTTCATGTGTACAATGTACACGTGTCGGTATTTGGCCCTTGACTATTGAGCAATGTATTTGTGATCCAACCATGTCTCTACAATGGACTTTTAAACTTTTACAGTTGAACTGCAAAGCAGGCAAACGCGCAACATGTGAGCATGTGCAGTCTGTGGCTCAGGAGCTTTGGCCAAGCCACGCTTGCATGTAGCCTATGCCTTCCAGCCTGAGGCAGTTTACTGTCAAGTCCGAAGATCCTCGAACGCACAAGAACAACATCACAAAAGGACAAATGTTAGAACTGAATTGAGATCAGTGACAGACAGTTGGCACAATTCCTCTTACCAAAATAAATCAAGCAACAGCTGACCAGCAACATACTTGGAGGCAAACTCTTTGTCACCTTAGCTCCTAAGGCATCTGACTCATGTTCCGAATGTGTGCAGGCATTCATCAGAATTCACAGCACAAGAAAATTGTGTGCTGCAATTGGCGATGGTGTCTGTGTGTATAGAAGACATGTGTATAGATTTGTTTGCGAAGTAGGGAAGCGTAAACATAGCAATCTAAGTCGGTTTGCGCGCGTTCTTCTGCTAAGGGGTACCCGTTCGCGCCCGCTAACAGAAAACGGTAAAAAAACAAAACAATTTTTACTGGTTCTACCGTGCGTGTGGTATTAAAACAAAAGCGACCCCCCCAAAAAAAAGAACAAACAAATCGATGTTGACCGGTTTTACCGCGGGTGTGGTAAAAACAGGCGACCCCCCCCGGAAAATAACGGCAAAAAACACACATTTTTTCGATTTGTCCCGTGCGTTTGTTACAAAATAAAGGTGACCCATGGACAAAATAACCGTAAACACACTAAAACAAAAAATTACAATGTTTTCCGGTTTTACCACGCGTGGTTTTAAATATAGGCGACCCTCCCCGAAAACAAAGATAGAAAACAATGTGCTTTATGTTTTTCTACCGCGCACGTGGTCAAAAATTAGAGGCAACCGACTCGAGAAAAACAGCCAAAAAAATATAATACATTATACATCATAAGGCGATCCCCTGGGAAAACCGGGAAATGCTGATTTTTACCGTTTTTACCGCAGGGGTGCCTCGAGGCAACCCCGTAGCCCGGGGCCCGAGCAACGCCACTAAGCCAGCACAGGGATAGCACTGTAAAGTAGTCACAACAGCCTTCTCTAATGCAGGGCGAGGTCGTAGAACCAATTTGAACGCACAAAGTATAAAATGTGCTACAAAAGGCAGGTGGAATATAGAGAGAGAGAGAGGTGACCTACTTATTCTCCAAACAGTGTGGTCACACTAGGGGTTCTTACGGTAATGGTTAAGCACCGGTGTCTAATCGAGGTGTTGCGCGGGCGTGTGTGGCTGGGCTGTTTCGCTGCTACTTAAAGAACATTCATACCTCTCGAAATCCTGGAAACGCATTTCGACTGCGCAGGCTCGCGAAATCTGGTGGGCCGCAAAACGCCTCGGCAAGGCTGCGCGATGTGAATCTTCAAGCGCAGATTTCGTGGCAGGCGCAGCACTTTGTGAACCTGGAAGTGCAGATTTCAAGGCAGGCACAGCACTTTGTGAACCTCGAAGTGTAGATTTCGTGGCAGGCACAGCACTTTGTGAACCTGGAAGTACAGATTTCGTGGCAGCCGCAGCACTTTGTGAACCTCGAAGTGTAGATTTCGTGGCAGGCACAGCACTTTGTGAACCTCGGAGTCAGCACTTTGTGCTCTCAGATGATCACTCTCACTCTCACTCACTCTCACTCACTCTCACTCTCACTCACTCTCACTCTCTCACTCTCCCACTCTCTCACTCTCACTCACACACACGCTCGCGCTCACTCTCTCACTCACACTCACACTCACTCTCACTCACTCTCACCCCACTCCCACTCTCACTCTCACTCATTCACTCATTCACTCACTCACTCTCACTCTCACTCTCACACTCACATTCGCACTCACTCACACTCACATTCACATGCACATTCACCCTCACACTCACACTCACTCTCACTCTCACTCGCACTCTCACACTCACTCACTCACTCACTCACTCACCCACCCACTCACTCACTCACTCACTCACTCACTCACTCACTCACTCACTCACAACCACCACCACCATCGCCACCAGCATCACCACGATCTCCACCTTCATCACCATCACCTCTCTGGACCCCATTGCGACTTTCTGCGCTGCTACGCCTCTAGACCTCACACACACACACCCCTGTCTGGGGTCTCTTGCCGGGATAATGCAGTTTTTGTTTGAAATAGAAGATTGATGTATTTATACTATGTAATGTGAGAAAGTCCCTTATTTGAGTTCTTTTGGCTTCCAAACTTGCACTTCACTAGCCACCCATTGCGTGGTAAGGATCCCTTTTTGTGAAAAAACGGCTGAGACTCAGCCAGCCCGTGGCAATGCGGTACACATCCGCCCATGTGCAAACACCTGCATGGAGAATAGATTAAACTGCCCAGCCCAGGCCAAGCCACCAAGTCCAGGGAAGGGGTCAGATCTGCAGTTCACAATGTCATCGTGGAGTTTGTCGAAAAGATTGCCGCCTGAGAAACACTTTCAACATGTGCGAAATTGTCCGAGTTTTTTCCGCGTGTGTTCTTTACCACCAGTATCCTGTGCTACTACAAGTACTGTATGTTTTCTCAAGGACGGGACATCAATACCCGTTGTTACTACTTGAAAGCACGACTCTTATACTTATATTCGTTCAACAACCACTGCAAACATCGCGTAACCCCTCTGCCTCGGGCCAAGTCCATGACAATCAAACATTGATCATCCGTCCAGAAAGCTTCGTGCAAATTCACCTTACTGTACATAAAGTGCAACAAAAGGAAGGGACGGATGGCACACATCAAGTCCGAAAATAGCACCAGCTCTGCATATACAGGCGCATGTGCCTCTGAAGATTGGCAGAATGATTCAGAGTTATTTAACGATGTTGCTCATCTATTGAACTCAGATTGCGCACTCGATTTGACTTACATAGTTTGAGGATGTTTGAGGGATGATGTTGGCCAAAGCAGAGTTGCCAAAACCTTACATACCTAAAAGTAATTTAAACAAAATAACGTGAGGGGTCCCTAGCCAGAAGTGGCTTAAGATAGGGGCCTTAGTCATAGTCTGAGAACCTGACATCAAAGAGCAACGCACAGCACTTAATAGAAGACTTCTTCGAAAGACTGTGAATGTTGCCACTACACCCAAGCAACTGCCGTCGAAGCTACCAATCCACGGCTGATCTGCCAGGGCCAAACACGAATTCAACTCAAGCCAACTAACCGGAAACGACGATTTCCGTCGGGATTGATGCCTTCTTTAGACCAACCAAGGCTGATCCACGGTGTCACCAAAGCAGGCATACAGCCGATGCGCAGTGGAAATCGGGTTGGGTCAGAAGAGCTCTTTACATTCTTTCTTTAGTATTTAAGGCGCCCAGAACCTCCTAACTGTATGTCCTTTGCGAGACTGACTACACCCTGTAGGGACTGAGTGGAACCCGCATGAAACACAATCATGAGTTAGTGAGGTTTTCAGCTTGGCCTCGTGCCATTCGTTCAAAAGGTGAACGACAACAGCAGATACAGGTGGATGATCGCTCCACCCTTCCCTTGCCATAACATATGGTAGCTTCTCTGCGCACAGTGGCTATGACGAGCCTTACGCCCCTGCTCTGAAGTCCGGAGCAACCAGCCAGTTTCCACACACACGTCGATACTGCATGCAAACCACACACACACACACACGCGCCCGCAAGGTGATGATAAGACTACGAATATTTATATACGGTTATAGACTTGGAAGATCTTGCAAGGCTTCTCATCTATATCACAGTAGTCCTAGTCCAACCTGCTCCAATAGGATTGGCAATGAACGACCACGCCTACGAAACTCAACTGCACTTCTCCTCCCCTGCTGGTTTCTGTTGATAGCACTCTGCCATCCATCTTCTACTTGTCTATCCAAAGTGGTTGAGGCGAAAAAGAAATGCTACACGATCGGTCTGCTGCATGGCTTCCAAAAAACAGAAGCAACACCACTGCTCTAGTGAAATCTTTCCAAGTTGCAATGCCCTTGTGATGCCCTTGTTACCAGTAACAGCGATGCCCTTGTTTCTGAAGCATTTTTCCGAGTTGCAATGTTGGGATGGTGCAATTCCCGCATTATTCGAATCTCCTTTCGCAATGACGCAAGCTGTCGCTCGCTCTTCTCCAAACAGCCAGTGCTGATGACCTGCAGCTAAGGTAGTGGATGTGATTTGCAAACCCAGTTTATTGAGAATTGTAAGAATTGTGCGCAAAGCGATGCTGCCCCGCAATAGAATTGTTTCGGATCTTCATGGACGGTGCTGTTCATGAGAATAGACTTGATGGGAAAGTGCTGCATTTCAACTCACCCCAGCCTTGACAGCATACTCGTGATGTGTACTTTTCCGTACGCACCTGGAAATAAGCCCTCCAAGTCATTGGAAACTGTCTGAAACATGTGGACTCATCCGGAGTCAGTGTCAGTCTAGATTATCTTGATTATTGCCATGGTCAATCTTGAACGCCTTGGTGCTACCTTGTCTGGGTGATTGGGCCAAAGCAATAGTCTAGGCTCCTGACACGAACACCGTCCCTTGGCCACCAGCATCCAATTTGGTGCCAAGCTCAAAAAGATCGTCAGGCAATCCGAAATGGGTGATCTCAGAAACCTGGACAGTAGCATTGATTGATTGATCCGAACTCCATGGCTGTGAAAGTGCTTCCAAGTGAAATCATGGCTGGAAAGTGTACAAGATTACATGATCAGCTGAAAGCCTGCAACGGCCTTGAGTTGAAACCTTCAGTTCTGACACGAACGACCCAGCACGACTGTTGTCCAACCTCGGCGCGTTTCTTGGCTTGCTTGTCCACACTCTTCTCTTGCCAGTCCTAGCATGTCAACAGCTATATTTCAATGTCAGCTCGAGTGTCAGGGAGCGTCCGGCCAACTTTTGCAAGCACCCTCTCATCTTCCTGCCAACTCTCAGTGTCAGTGCTACGTCTATATATATATATATGTTTATAAACGAGAGGGTGTTGTTGACCCCAACTTTATATTGAACAAATAAAACATGTCCTTCGCACTTCAAATCTGAGACCACCTATGTGCCAAGAGTTCCTTCTAACATCATCTGACATCGCTTATTTGTGATCATTGACAGGACTAAATAAAAAGCATGCTTGTGATGCGTAAGCCTGGCACCTGCACCGCAAACATAATGTTTGATGGGTTGTAAAAGGTTTGATGGATGAGAGAAGGATGGACTGATTGATAAGAAGGGTGCTCTCAAAAACAGTTGCAATATGTGTAAGAACTGAAGACCCTTTAAGTGGAAAACTTTCCCAAAGGACTTGGGACTGACTGACGGGAGAAAAATCACGATCAATGAACTTTGATGCCACATCGTCCTGACGCAGGTAGGAGTGCTCCTCCACCACGTACTGAGAGTTGTCTTCAATTTGCTTTGTCTTCCCTCGAAGGACTTTGTACAAAGCAGTGCTCACGACCCCACTCAGCAGCAGCGCACCCAAAGCACGTAGGAGGAGCCGAAGCCGTTGCAGCCGAGAGCCAAGCAAAGAAGCATCCATGGGATCTCAGGGCCATGTAGACATGATAAATCTATCAGGTCATGTCATATGTTGCATGCGGACCAATCCACAGTAAACACAACCAATCATATCAGACTCACCACATGTGCCGTGGGTGTTCCGCTCAATTTCACTCCCAACTGACTTGCAAGTCCTTTTATTCCGTACAAGGTTAAGCTGTACCGGTAAGTGGATGACAACCAACACAAGGGATATATCGAATTAATTATTAACATACATATTTAAAACATATATATTATATATATATATATATTTTTTTATTTATATCTGCTCTTCTTCTTTTGTGCATTTGGTGGACAGGCCACACAAGAGACCCAAGAATAGTATATACTTAAAAAACATCAGGCTGTGTGCCAAATGCAAGGGCGGCTCCAGGTCTGAAGAGTCCCATGAAGGTCAAGCTTCAGATTCATTGCAAGAATACAAGCCTTGCAAACCCATCTTTTTTGTCCACCGCCACCAAGAATCACAAACCAACTCGGAAGAACTGCTTCTCAACACTGGAATAATTATGAGGTGATAACTGAACCCAAATTGAAAAGCAGCACAGCATAAGCGCCATGCGCAGATTCACATTCGGCTTCATGCAGGTGAGCAAAAAGAGTAGTTGCGATTCAATATAGCTTGTGCCTGTTTCTAGTATGTGCTGTATGAAATCTTGATTTGCCATCACCATCCCTGCAAATGGCCACCGGACAAGTGCCACGGTGATCAAAGAGTATGTCCATGATGTCTGAAGAAAAAGGTGAAGGAAAAGGTTCACTTCCATGTTAAGAAGAGATCAATTTGCTCCTGCTATCTTCAATCACCGGCACTGCTATCTCAAGCTGATCAAAACTGGTCAAACCAGTGGCCGTCCAGCTTCATGTGCTGACTGGCCCAGCGGTCGGCGAGCGCCCTTATCAAAGCTAAGGAGGATCCCTTCAAGTAGGATTGAATTTGGGGCATGGATGTGCTTAGCCAATGTTACCTTCTTTTTCAGTATGAATCATCGTCGTCATCATCATCATCATTATTCATTATTATCATCAAGAATGCTAAATGAGAGTTGACAAGCAAAAGCATAGTGTCATGCGAATGGGGTGGCTGATGTTCGCACTCTTGCACTGTGGCGGCATGAATCCAAAGGCTGAATGCAGTTCAATAGATCGTCAGAAATAGATCGCAAGAAAACAACAGTAACCAAACTAAACTATAACTGGACAGCATAAATTCATACCAAATCTACATCACCAGAGTTTTCCCTCTCGGTTCCGCGTAGTTGCTAATTCCAAAACCAATCGTGCTTAACTTATTGCACGCGGTGCTTTTGTCGGCCCAAGTCGCAAGAAACAACAGGGCTGACACGTTACAAGTCTCGAGAAGTCAAAAGAATTAAATTAGCGATCGCCATTGGACAAATTGCCGGAAGCACCACAAATACTCACAAATAGAGAAAAAAGAACACAGGATCATGAGCCGCGGCCAGAGCTAGAGCTTATAGCCTAACCCGCCACACCACGCACATTCACGGTTGGCTTGCTCGCTTTTCACTGGTTTTTGTTCTAAACTGCCAGCCCCCAATTTGTTTGCTGAATGCTTCCCAAAAGCTGGTGCTGCTTCGCGGTTGTAATTATTCTAGTGGCCCCTGTTCCTTGCATTGAACCTTCTTCCGCACCACAAGAGTATAACAGTATAAGAATAGCAATAGGAAGCCCAAATCCAGGATCACCGAGGTCACCAAAGGAGTACCGAAAGCGCCCAAACGGCCTTAAGCTCCTCGTGGATGTTGAGACCAAGCGCTCGCACAGACCTAGGAAGTCACGAAGTTTGCCTGCTGTCCCAATTGCGACAGCACCTCGCTCTTATATCTATTAGCACTGTATGCGTTTCACCAAGTCTCCTAGTGAAAAGTGAGAATCAAAGTGGGGCCAACCCATTTCCTACCAAAAATAACCCTGCTCTGGCGGCAGCTGACACAGCACTAGCGGGCTCACGGATTGTCAAAGATCAGCGATGCAGGCATAGGTACTCCTGGGAACCTTGACATTTGAAGCAAAACGTAACACAGGCACCGGTCCATGATGATTGGTCCATGCGACACCATGCAATAGATTCAACAGCATCGGGCACGACTAGTGTTTTTTCCTTTGAAAATGGCAGCTTCATGAAGAAAACTTTGCACTTTTCAATCGGTTCCCCGCGATGATTGTTATATACTTCAGTCTGCTGTGTTGATCCGCAAGCATCTGAAGCTTTGACTGCTGCTGCAAAGCATTCCTGAACTGTACCTTTCAACTCAAAAGCATCGTCTGAAACTGCAAGTGAGACTGCTTGCAGCACAACTGTGCCAGCGTGTTTGCAGAAAGGCATGTCATGGCTCCCAGGCGCACCATGGACAAACTGTCTAGACCTGCATCCATGAGCGGTGCGTCCTCGAAGTGGACGAAGTGAGAAACATCAAATTATCAGTTTTTCATGTTGAAATGGGCAACGTTACAATGTAACATCGCAACTAACAGGTCAAAATAGATGTTCAAGTTGGACTACAAAACGGCGGTTTTTGTGTGTGCAAACCTTCAAACTATAACTAGCTGTCTAGAGTTTCTCCACGGTTCTCCCATGGCTCCTGGTGAAGTTCATCAGTTTGCACCCTGGCGCCAATGCAACTGAATCTTTCAAGGATCAACCAAGCCAGTCCCCAGCTTGAGGAAGCTTTGTGGAACAGCTGCTTATATACATGCAACATGTTTTTCAAATGTCTGCTGTCCCACCAACTCAGCATAGTTTCATGTTCCTGTGACTTGGAAAGGAGCTGTGTCAAAGTTCAAGTCATTCCAGTCTCGGTGTCTTGCAGCTGCATTGCAATCTCATTGATGCGAGGAATCAGGGCATCCACCTCAGCTAGCATAAATTCAGCTGCTCGCAGACCGCAACCCTGGACCCTCAACTACAGTATATACATTCACTTTGGGGAAGGACAAGTGACAGGCATGGAGAGGCAAAGAAAAGAAGGACGATCGATTAACATGCCTTGACATTGTCATGTTCGTCGTCTCCTTGTGAAGTATGTGAGCATTGCATTTGAGTGCCAGGCTGTGGGCCCCTTATATGGCCCAATTTCACTTGCGCCCGTGCTGACTTCTGCGCCACCTGCGAATCCAGGAATATTCTACTGTATAATATTCTATAATGTTCTATAATACTATTTTGCAGCTGTAAGGCTTCATAAATTGCATTGCCTGGCGCTGCCATGGCACCAGTGTCCTGGATCAGACTTGTGTGTGATCCAAGCGCAAAGAAGTGGCTTCGACAGATGTGACACCTCATTTGAGATGGCTCTCTCAGATGCAAGACAGTGTAAGACCTCATTTGCAACAAAAGTCACTCTGGCACCACCACACAGGACCATAGGCGGCGTCCTCGACATAGTCGTCCTCCACTCTGCTCCAACAGAAGCGCACGTTTCATCGAAGCTCAAGTTCAAGCTCCACCCGTCACATGGAACATGGACGCTACTAGGGCTCCTGGCATCGCTATTAGGAACAAGGGCATCGCTACTAGGGGCTCCTGGCCTTACTACTAGGAGCAAGGAGGCTACTAGGAACAAAAAAAGAATACATAGGGGCTTCCTCCCCCATTCCCCGCCTGCTTGCCCTTCCCTTTGCCTTCCAGGTGTTCCAGGAGCTGCCTTCTCTGAAAGAATGGCTCAAAAATGTCCATGACAAGCAAATGCATCGCACAACAGCGAACCACATGCTCATTTGTTTACTCTCTTCTGGGGCCACGTGCAGTGCAGCATCTTGGCTCTGAGGATCATTGATCTTCTGAGCGATGTCCAAAGACTTGTGAGCGAACTGAGCAGTGAGCAAGCAATTTGGGAGAGCAAGTGTTGTGCAAACTCACAGTGACAAGGCCAAAAAAAGGGTGTGATGGTTTGAGTATTCCTGCTGCATGATTCCTGCCATCCTTAGATTGAACATACGTGTATAAACATATTCATACATGAATACTTGCCGTGCTAAGCAGATTGGGAGTTGCATGTTGTCCGATGGACCACGCAATTTCATGGAGATGAGATAGCAACCAAGTGACAAACCATGATGACAAGGCAGGGGAGAAGTCACTGTGGCCGGCCTTTCTCGCTTCGTCCTTCTTTCCGTTCATTGAGTAGATTTCGCCAATAGTCACCAAGGCAGCGGCCTCAACAGGTGCAATGGCTGAGGAGCGCAAAGGAGTGTATATATACATTTATACATCGTTCTTTTCAATTTTGGACAATGGAACACAGAACGAACAGTTTCACTTCATGTGTCCAAGTTGTTCCCGACTGTTGTTACTGTTGTTGTCATCATCTGTGCGTGTGTACGCGCACTTGTACGTTAGTAACAATCAACAACAGCATCATCAACAACCACAGCCACGAGGAGTGAGAGATAAAAAAACTATTTGAAGCATCAAGAAAATACTGTTTGAGGGTCAAACAAAAGTATGCAAAACTAAGCATCAACAAGGATAATGTATAATATATTATATACATATACATACTCCGGTAGTATACTCCTCTCCGATCCTAGGGATTCACGTTGCCTTTTGCAAGACTTCAGTCCGACCCATTTGAAACCGTGTTGACTTGAGCTGCGTGCAATACTTCGTGAATCCGGCGGGCAACTTGGCTGGTGTGTTACAACTATGCAACCACAATGTATATTACCAATACCAATTTACATATTTGTAGTACAAATAGTATTTCAAAGTTCAACAACTTTGTGGCACTCAGATCTTGGCACATTTGAACTTCCATTCTGTGATGAGCCTGGTCTAGTTTGGCTAGCAGTTGTATAAGCGCCCGCGCCTGCGCCAACACGCACACACTCGGGATAACGCGTACGTACTGAGGCCGCCAAAGCTGAGAAGAAACCTTGATTTGAAAAAGGGCCTGAATAAACCAGGCTTTCAAGAAATCAGCCATGGTAAGCATCTCTCCGTCTGACGCTCAA